CGTTGGAGAGGTTTAAGCTGAGGACTGTAGGTGATGGCCAGTGGAGTTCTGTTGGTTTCTCTTCTGGGCCTGTCTTGTGGGAATGTGCTAATAAAGTCTGCGGATGACACAAAGCTGGGAGGTATTGCCAATACAGAGAAGGACCAGGATATCATACAGGAAGATCTGGATGACCTTGTAAACTGGAGTAATAGAATAGGATGAAATTTAACAGTGAAAAGTGCAAGGTCATGCATTTAGGGATTAATAACAAGAATTTCTGTTATAAGCTGGGGACGCATCAGTTGGACGTAACAGAGGAGGAGAAGGACCTCGGAGTATTGGTTGATCACAGGATGACTATGAGCCGTCAATGTGATATGGCCATGAAAAAAGCTAATGCGGTCTTGGGATGCATCAGGCGAGGTATTTCCAGTAGAGATAAGGAGATGTTAGTACCGTTATACAAGGCACTGGTGAGACCTCATCTGGAATACTGTGCGCAGTTCTGGTCTCCCATGTTTAAGAAGGATGAATTCAAACTGGAACAGGTACAGAAAAGGGCTACTAGGATGAGCCGAGAAATGGAAAACCTGTCTTATGAAAGGAGACTCAAAGAGCTTGGCTTGTTTAGCCTAACCAAAAAAGGCTGAGAGGAGATATGATTGCTCTCTATAAATATATTAGAGGGATAAATACCAGGGAGGGAGAGGAATTATTTAAGCTCAGTACCAATGTGGACACAAGAACAAATGGATATAAACTGGCCATCAGGAAGTTTAGACTTGAAATTAGGTGAAGGTTTCTAACCATCAGAGGAGTGAAGTTCTGGAACAGCCTTTCAAGGGAAGCAGTGGGGGCAAAAGACATATCTGGCTTCAAGACTAAGCATGATAAGTTTATGGAGGGGATGGTATGATGGGATAGCCTAACTTTGGCAATTAATTGATCTTTGACTATTAGCGCTAAATATGCTCAATGGCCTGTGATGGGCTGTTAGATGGGGTGGGATCTGAGTTACTACAGAGAATTCTTTCCTGGGTGTCTGGCTGGTGAGTCCTGCCCACATGCTCAGGGTTTAGCTGATCGCCATATTCGGGGTCGGGAAGGAATTGTCCTCCAGGGCAGATTGGCAGAGGCCCTGGGGGTTTTTCGCCTCCCTCTGCAGCGTGGGGCAGGGGTCACTTGCTGGAGGATTCTCTGCAGCTTGAAATCTTTAAACCACGATTTGAGGACTTCAGTAGCTCAGACATAGGTTAGGGGTTTGATACAGGATTGGGTGGGTGAGATTCTGTGGCCTGTGTTGTGCAGGAGGTCAGACTAGACGATCATAATGGTCCCTTCTGACCTTAAAGTCTATGATTCTATGATAAAGTCACTGCAAATACTGTACTTGGGTCCACATTGCCTAGGACATTTGTTATTAACTTCACTTGATAGACAGGAGTCTCTTGTTCTAACAGTTGATTGTCTTGGCCTCCTTTCTTAAATCTTGGACTCGGGTCAGGAAACATCTGTGCTAAGGACCTTAAGGGATGCGCGACTTACGTACAGGTCTTATGTATAGATCCCTTCACAAAAGTACATCTTCCACCTCGACATTGGTATGGTTTGGGAGTTGTGTCCTGTCTGCTTCATCATACCATTGTTGAAAACATCTGATAGGTATCCTTGTGGCTATTGCTTATTAGGACTACGTGCATTACTAGCTGTTGGCCATAACTGAAGCTTGAGACATTTCAATAAAATTCAACCTTGATTTTTAATCCATTTACCAGAATCTTGTGTTTTATTTCTGTATCCCTCCAAATGGCATCAGCAAACATCGAATAGTTAAAAACAAAACAACTAGAGACCACATTGACTGAATAATGCAATCTGAATTTTCTATCTGTAAATAATTTACTCGGTATAACTTCTGAGACTACTGAGAAATTGATTAATTTAAGTCCTATTACAGATGAATAAATTAACAGGAACGACTAATTGTAAAGTTACCAGTATTTGATTTAGTTCAGATTTTCTGCACAGACTTGTATATCAAACCTTGGTTAAAATATAGATTAAAGACCCCACCATCATTTCTTTTATACATTGAAATATTTAATTGCACATACTGTACCTGAAAACCTCCTAAATATACAATACCTTTTAGACATATGTCTCTGAAAACCTACTCTTATCACCTGCATAGATTTGTAAGCAACAGAAATCATTGCTTGTTTTTACTAATCATCTTAAATGAGGAATTAGTTTAACACATTAAAAGGTTAATTATGAAGCATTGTTTGCATTAAATAACTAAAAGGAATATATAGATCAAGTATTCAATTCACTATGCCCTATGATTTGTTCCTCGTTTCTCAACTGGGAAAATTATGGTTTGTATTGTGCATTTCATGAGATACATCACTCACAGCTACATCAAATATAATTGATATATTCACCTGCATTCGTGTTCTATTTTGTTAGGATTAAATTTCTGATTATAACTTTCACTTTAATGCATTCAGTATTTAATTTCACAATATTAATAAATGTTGAGAATACGCTTTCCTTTACCTTGTTTCCAATGGCTTTTTTGGGTGGGAAATTAAGGGTCCTTACTTGGTGGTATTTATTCTGTAGCTTGTGATGCAAGCTTCTGAATTCTGCATATCTTCGATAAACATTCCATTCATCATCTTTTATTCTGATATATACCTGCAAGTATAGACAAGAAAAGATCAATTTTAAAGGCAATCATTACATTCATTTTGTCTCTCTTTGTTAAAAGTACTGTTTGTCAACTACCTTCACCTTTATGACATAACACTCTCAGTAGTTTTAGGACTATTTACCTACAACTACATCCAACTGCAAACAGTCATCAAGTGTAGATATGTCTATTCAACAGGTCATTAATCTAATTCTCTTTTATTGGATTCAGTGGTGACATACATTAACTTGCTCATTATTACAAGACAGGGCTGCAATTTTGTGGTAAGATAGCTGCTAATGCTTTCTGTTGCCATGGTTTTCAGCAGGTTCTACTGACCAGTGCACAAAGAAAAAATTAATCTGATATAATTTACATTGATTTATGTACATTTAATAGTTTTCCAACTTCACACATGAATTTCTAGTCATAATTCTTAAGTCACAAACTTTATTTACTCATCATCATTATGCTGAAGCAAACCACATCCTTCACGAATGAATGGGTTTTTTTAAGAAATCAAAATGTATTATAAAATACTGGAGTATAAACTACTGAAATCTTATTATTTGGAAAATAGAAGCAGTTTTCTCTCTCTTTTTATTTTTTTGTACAGGACGTGTAGTATAATTTCACATACTGAATGTTTTTGCCACAGCTCAATTACTTTCATGAGGGTACTACCAATAATATGCTAAATGTTCTCCTCCCTGAGGGAAAACCCATAGAGAAGGAAAACATGCTCACAAAACTCTGAGAATTAATTAATGGCTCTAGAACTATGTTCTCTATTGGGAAAAGGGGTTTTAATTTTATGGAGGGATCAGGCAAGGCATGGCTCTAAAACTCAGAAACTCCACAATGATCTCAGGACCCAACACCATGACTGAGGGCATTTGGGACTAGTGTCCTCTTCGGTGTGACTTCTTGCTTTCCTACCCACAGCTTCCTTGCGGAGCTATGTTTCCATTGCTTCCCTCTGCAGCACCTGTGCCCTATTCTTCCCACCCCAAACTTTCTAGTATTAATGACTTCCGCAGTTTACATAATATGCTAGAGCAGATTAGAATTGATGAGGCAAAACTGCCATATTTCTTCAACAGCATTTTTAGAAGTTTCCAGATTACTGAGATGATGATCATCTGAAAAAAGTAGTGCTAATGGTCATCAGACACACAATGATCAAAAAGAAAACAGAGGAAACAGGAATAAGCAAGAAAAAAGCCAAAGCAAAAATATTCAAACTCAGGAGACTAAAATTAAATATCCAAATCCACATTCAGATACCTATATAATTGGCCTGATTTTCAACAGTGCTGAGGATCTAATTATTTTATTTAGGTGTCTAACTTTCAGTACGAACATTTAAACATTTCATGGCAATTTTTTAAAGTATTACAGAAGATAATCACTTTTACAGTAATAGTGAAAAAGTCAAGAGATGAATATAGACTTCACAAAACTATTTAGCATAGTATTTCATACATGGTGCCATGGTCTCCTAAGGGAAACAAGGTTCCCAACCCCAAACCTGTCATAACTATAAACAGATAATGGACAAAAGTCCAAGAATTCAAACAATACAATGATCACAATTAAAATGCAATATTTCTAACAGCTACCACACAAATAGTATTTGAGTTACTATGGTACTGTGTACTATAGTACAGGCAGTAATCATAGTATTGTGTGATAACTTGTTAAATGCAAGCTTGTAATGGTTACCATGGTACAACACTTCACTTGCTCTTCATAATTATGATGGTAGATTCTGCTGGAGAAAGCAGAGCTGTTGAGTTTGGTCTACTTAGATTATATACGAACACACAAAACTACAGGCAATTGTATTTGTCAATAGGAACTCAGGTACTACAGTGATGGGCTCTAAAAATAGGTAGACCACATGGCCAAGTATTTAAAGAGCAATACAAATTTTAAAATAATAGCTAGTGAAATAGCTCTGATAACTAGATTTAATAGGGAATTAAGATAATGTGACTTTATCCCCTCAGCTCTTTCCCCACCTTTCTTTAATCACTATATAAAATTAAAATATATTACTTTGGCATATATAAGTATTATTCAGAATTTTTCAGGCTCCTTATAAAACAAAGTATACCTAAATTATTTTCATGTAGTTATTTAATATGGAAATCCTATTTTTACTATTCAACTACAGAGAAAATTGTAATTTGGTGAATCATGCAATTCTATGTTACCTAGTAAGGTGTAACCTGTAGTTAAGTAATTAAGGAGTCTAATACACTGTAACTGAATATTTTAAAGACCGCAAAAAAAGATTCATTTGTTGTATACATCGTTAAAGATTTTACTTCTTGTTCTTTGAAGAACATAGATATTGATTTCTTTGAGATTGTAAGGTGTGAAGAACTGACACTAAGAGCCCTGTGTCATATTGAATTTATTGACGATCATATAATAGAGTCTGAAAGGCATATTAAAGTTCCTGCTTTAGTACAAGCATTTACAGCTTTATTATCTCAACAGGGAATACTATTCAGAAGCCAAGTTATTTCAAGACCATTAATCTCAACTCACTTGGGAAATCAAAGAAAATAAACCCTAAATGTTAAAAAGATTGGTTAAGCTTGTTTTAGTTTAGTGCCCATAAGGCATACAGATGGCTACTGTTAGGCAAATGAATTACAAAACGAGAGTATAGAAGGGTGGAGAACAAAATGTCTCTATAGTTGATTTACTACTATACATCACCAAATCAAGCAGCCTGGTACATGTTGGGTTAAAATCCTGACCCTACTGAAGTCAATGGGAGTTTTGCCATTGACTTCAGTGCAGGCAGGATTTCATCGCTGGCCTTTAATTATGAATTCAGTCTAATTTCTGACTATTAAATAAGCAACAACCCTAAAACAGATGCTATGATAACATCGACAGCCACCTTGAGGAACTGGGGACCTCAAATTGTGCCAGCAAAGTAGGAACGTCTTCAATATCATGAAATAATCTAACAAAAATGAATATTCTATATAACAGAAACTAGCACAAATTATTTGAACCAAATTTAAAAAAAATAAACGGTCAGTTCTCAATAACCTTCATACAGCAAATATAAGCCATTAATATCAATATCTTGCCAAGAATACTATTCCTTTTCTAGTGTCTACTCATGCCTCTCCCAAACCACTTCCCTGATTATTTGTTTATATTTATTATGATTTCATTAGTGTGGCATCTACGCACCAGACAAGCACCTCTTTAAAGTAGAAGAATTTTATCTACATTTAACAGATGGGGAAACTGAGACAAAAAGAAAGAATAAGTGATTTGCCTAGGAAGCCTGTGGCAAATTTGAAACCAGATCTCCTAATTCCCAGTCCAGTGGCCCTTCCCATCTTAGCAGAAGTTTAATCAGACCAACAGGAGAATGGCAACTCCTTGTGGTACTGGTGAGAGGAAGCACTATGCTACAGGAATGATATCATTCATAGATAACGGAGAGAATAAACAAGAAAAATCCAGATACCAATTCTAACATTAACATTCATTTTTTTATAAAGCATTTTTTTCACTATAATCCATTGTTCTAGGGCGTAGACCAAAGTCATATATAATTTGACCCTGCTAGTCTCTAAACATTTAGTTTTATTAAAACAGAGAAGAAAATGATTGTCCAAACACAGCAAGGTCCTACACTTGACTTGATGGTATTTCTCTCTGTTTGGCTGTAACATGATAACTTTTGAATGCTGCATCTGATCAATTCCAAAATTTCAAGGAATGTTTTAAGCATCAATGGGCAGAACCATGTTGATTATGGTCAAAGTCCGAAAACTATAAGGGCAAAATGATGGACACATGGAGTCCCTGACATCTGGCTAGCAGACCCATCAACTTCCACCAGTTCTGTAATAGTCTATAGATCAAAACAAATGCATGAGGGCATTAGCATCTTCCAGCTTAACATTACTCCCCATCTCAGCTTTGCCCATTGTCCCTGAAGAAGAGCTCTGTGTAGCTTGAAAGCTTGTGTCTTTCAGCAACAGAGGTTGGCCCAATAAAAGATATTATTTTACCCACCTTATCTCTTGATTGTCCCAATACAGTTTAGAATGTTGACATCCTCAAATGATTATTGGCCAGATGGAAAGAAAAGAAATAAATATTTGGGTGAAATATAGGGAGACAGAGTACACAGAGCTCCTGGAATAAGAGACCCTGGTATAGGGGAAGAAGGGCATACAGAATACCTGCATAATGGAAAGAGATGGAGGGTGTGTGTGCTGGGAATCCTTGAAATAGAGAGAGATGGGAAGATGGCACACAGGGAGCTTATGATGGGAAAATTTAGGAATGCAAGAAGTCCCTTGTGTGCACCATGCACTTGGCCTACACAAACAACAAAGTATGCCATCCTCTAGTTAATTACTCAGCATTTTCTCATTGACATTGTTCAAATTCATGTCCGTTCTTGTGCCAAAAACAAACTATAATGCTACAATTTAACAATTACATATCATATCGTCCTCTTCTGATCTAACAAATAAATAAATAAAAAGATAAAGATAACTTGTAAAATTGCAGATGCTATTTTAAAATCATGTTTTAGAATGCTTAAAAACTCTAAGGCTTATTCATTGGTCAATTTAAAAATCACTTCCAAGACCCTCTGTATCCCAGCTCACACTGGTTTTCTGACAGATGTTTATTTTTCCTCTGATAATCGGTTTCCTCAACTAACTCCATTAAGTAATTTTAAATTCAAGATCCCCTTACACATTAAATCAGACTCTCTCCAAGAATGGTTATTTAATTGGAGAGCAATGATTTTTGCTTGAACATTCTATCATCTGTCTATCAAAGAAAAAGCTAGCACTTTTGTCTGTAGTATAGAAGTATTTTCCATCAACACTATCTCAAGCAAAGGCTGATTGGCAGCCTCCCTTTGTGGCCATGATATACCACATTTGAAAGACAGATGCTAATTAATACACACTAAGAATTAATCTACAATCTTCTAATCTCA